GACTGGGAATGGAACCCTGCCACCTTGTTGGTTTATTGCATGACACTCCAACCCACCGAGCCGCCACACCTGGGCTGTGACCAAGTCCTGGCTGATGGGAGCCTGTTGCTGCAGAGGTGGTCAGTATGGCCGTCGCTGATCTGTATTCCGTCGCTGCACTTCCTTCGCTGCACTGTGTGTAGGACACAGACCCACCGCCCACACTGGCTCTACAAGGACATCTTCCCAGGCAGCCGATTGGTGGAAACCACTCCGGACCTCCTCCAACACTAGTCTTCCTGAGCTCCTGGATTGTCCTCCTGTGTCTGGGACTCACCTGGAACTCGCTTGTGACTCGCTACCATGACCCTGCAACTTGTATACTTCAGAAAGTCTTTTTAAAAAATTTTTTTTTCCTATCGATTCAGAGAGGGAAAGGGGTGATACCACATCCCTCACGGAGTCTCCCAGAAGGTCTGTGGAACAGCGGTGCCAAAGGGCCTGGGCATGGGGGCTCCTGGCCTGGTGTGGTGGGACAGTGCCCCCTCCCTGTAGAGGGTGGAGGGTTGGCTGGGAGCAGGGAGATGAGGTCTCCAGGCTCCTGGGCTGAGAAGGGGGCCTTGGCCAGGCTAGGTGTGTCTCTGGCCAGGGGAGGCCTCAGGGTGAACTGGGAGTGGGTGGTTCTTTGGGTGCTAAGGAGGTCGGTGGCAAGCTTGCCGAGGGCTGAGCTAAAGTAAATGGTCCTTGGGCTGGTCTGAGGGCCCTTGGGAGGGGGTGGTGCTGAAATGGAGGGCCGGGGCACATTGTGAATTTGGGACCCCGTTCCCACCGAAACACCCCAGAATGCAGGCCTATCTGATCGTCCAGCCATAGTTGAGAGAAGGACCTGGGGAATCACCTTGTGCTTTGAGCCCTGGGTGGTCACTGCCCGTCCCTCCCAGCTTCCCTTGCCCAGCATGCTGGCCTCGCACAGGCTGTGGAGTTTGCACAAGAATGTGGTTTCGTTCAGCCATGGAAGGGGGAGAATGAGAAGAGAGGCTGGAGTTGGTGCCCTGAGCATACACTTAGTGGAAGGAACTGAGAGAAACTCTTGGGGGACCACACACCCAAGGGCATGCCTCACTGCAGGGGAACAGCCAAGGTGCGCTTTGGAGGGACTCCAGGAGAGACCTCTCACACTGGGCATCCACTCCCATCCTTGGGTTTTGCCATGTCTCATACTCTCCATTTTATTTGCTTACAATAATCTAAATCCACTCACTTGTTAAAACTCAAAACTCCATTTGACCTAGGAACCCCACTTCTAGCACTATATTCTATGGGCATAGCAGTGTTATTTGCAATAGCCAAGCTCTGGAAATAGCACAAGTGCCCGTCAGTAGACGAGTGGATAAAAAAAAATTGGTATATTTACACAATGGAATACTACATGGCTGTTAAAAACAAAAACAAAAAATTCGTTCCCTTGGCAATAGCAGGGATTGATCTGGAGATGATTATGCTAATAATTTTTCAGTCAGAGAAAGAATTTATATGTGGAACAAAATAGGTCCAGAGACATGGATGCAAGGAACGGAAGAGGGAAGGGGTCTTGGAGGGGCTTGGAAGAGACTAGCTAAAGAACTTATATACACACATACACTTAGCCCATGGACACAGGCTGCAGTGTGGCAAAGGCTGGGGCTGGGTGGCGTGGGAAAAGGGGGACATCTGTAATAGTGTCAATAAAAACCCTCAAAACTACTTTTAAAGGTGTCTTTCAGTTATTCACTTGTCAAAATGAGTTAAATTCAGTTGAAACAAAGTTTTAGCCAGATTATGTTGCTTCTGAAAACCTGCTCTTTTATTTTTTTAGTCCTCACCCGAGGATATTTTTCCATTGATTTTTAGAGTGGGAGGGAAGAGGAGAGAGAGAAACATGGATGTGAGAGAGACAAATCAATTGGTCGCCTCCTGCACGTGCTCTGAGCAGGGCCAGGGATGGAGCCTGCAACCTAGGTGTGTGCCCTTGACCAGAATCAAACCCGGGACCCTACTGCAGGCTGACGCTCTAGCCACTGAGCCACACAGGCTAGGCACGAAAACTTTTTTTCTTCCAAAGTTTATTTGCCAAGTATGAGAGGCTTAAAAAACAGCACCAAACCAAGACCTTGTTGATATTGGGAATCTGCTGGAAAACTATGAAGGAAGCCTTTCTTGCCTGGAGGGCAGGGGGTGTTAACGGCAGATGACTTAGTTGCTCATCTAGACCGTTCCCGGGTGATTGAAGAGTTAAACCAGGGGGTGATCTTTCTGTGGACCCCAAGAGGAGGTGCTGTCATGGGATTCCAGGTCTGGCCATCCTGGGAGGGGACATGCTTGTGGTTGATGGATCCGGTTGTTGATCGAGAGGCAGATGAGAGACAAGCCTGTTTGTTGTCCCACTGATTGATGCATTTATTGGTTGCTGGTGTGTGCTGGCTAGGGCTCGAACCTGCAACAGTGGTGTCTCAGGACACGTTCCAACCCAGTGGTACAAGCCCTTGACCAGAATCGAACCTGGGAGCCTTCAGTCTCCAAGCCGACGCTCTATCCATTGAGCCAAACCGGTCTCGGCCCAGCAAACATTTTAAAATATATATTTTGATTTTTTTTTACAGAGAGGAAAGGAGAGGGATAGAAACACCAATGAGAAACATCGATCAGCTGCCTCCTGCACTCCCCTACTCCCCCACTGGGGATGTGCCCACAACCAAGGTACATGCCCTTGACGGGAATCGAACCTGGGACCTTTCAGTCTGCAGGCCAACGCTCTTATCCACTGAGCTACACCGGTTAGGGCCCAGCAAACGTTTCTTAAGGGGAGAATAGTGAACAGCCAGGCCAATGCCTGCCCGCATGGGGCTCACCTTCCAGCCAGAAGCACAGACCCGTCACTCCATGGGCCACGTCAGGCTGTGTCAGGGTGAGGACCGAGGGCATGTGCAGGGTGGCTGGGGGAGCCATTCCCAGAGGGAGTGCCCCAGCCAAGATGGAGCCACATCCTTCTTGGAGAGCTTGTCTCCAGGCAGTCACATGGCGTGATTCTGCTGCCGCTATTGGCTGGAACCAGCCCAGGCGCTTTCTAGGGAGGAATGGCTAAAAACTCATGGCCTTGTAGGAAACGGCCACGGCTGGCAAAGCCGTCAGCTCACCTCCAGTGTGTGACGTTTAGGGTGAAGGGCCCTTGGGTGAGGACATGGTTGCAAACTCACTGGCCACACGTCTCCATCGCCGGGACTTGGGGAATGGCTCCCTCTCCCCAGGACGTCTCCAACTCACATGGTGAGAGGGCAGCAGCGCCCTCGTCAATGTCACTTCAGCCGGGAAGTTCCTGTGGCTCCGAGCCGACATGCCACGCCTGAAGCCACGGGCCCTTCGCCTGAAGAGGCTGTGCAGGCAGCCTCCACCACCAAACGCTGAACTTTCATTATTTTTTATTTTTTTTTTTAAATATATATTTTATTGATTTTACACAGAGAGGAATTGAGAGGGATAGAGTTAGAAACATCGATGAGAGAGAAACATCGACCAGCTGCCTCTTGCACACCCCCTACTGGGGATGTGCCCGCAACCAAGGTACATGCCCTTGACCGGAATCGAACCCGGGACCGTTCAGTCCGCAGGCCGACGCTCTACCGCTGAGCCACACTGGTTTTGGCTGAACGTTCATTACTTTTTTTTTTATAGATTTTTTACAGAGAAGGGGAGAGAGAGCTAGAAACATCGATGACAGAGAAACATCGATCAGCTGCCTCCTATACACCTCCCACCGGGGATGTGCCCGCAACCAACCTACATGCCCTTGACCGGACTCGAACCTGGGACCTTTCAGTCCGCAGACTACCACTGAGCCACACCGGTTTTGGCTGAACGTTCATTACTTCCGACCCAGAGGTTTAGAAAATGTTTTGAAATGTTTATGCAGAACCGAGGTGGAAGTCGTGGAGGAGGAGATGGAATGAGCTGCGGGTCACAGGCTGTGACCTGGAGAAGTTCTTAAATACATTTATTGATTTCAGAGAGGTAGAGGAGATAGAAGCATCAATGATGAGAATCACTGATTGGCTGCTTCCCGCACACCCCCTACTGGGGATCAAATCTGCAACCCAGGCACGTGCCCTCACCTGGAATCAAACCATGACCTCCTGGTTCATAGGTTCATGCTCAACCACTGACGCACCCCGCTGGAACTGGAGAATTTTAATGTCACCTCACGGGAAACACGGGCATCAAACACATCCCCCTCCCTCCCCGAGTCCCCGGGAAAAGGGGAAACGAAGTGCACATGCCCAGGAGGCGTCCACGCTCGCCTGGTGTCCAGCTCTCCCGGCCCCTGACTCTGTCCCCACGCCCTGCCCCTGGCTGTACCTTGATGGGACAAGGCGGGAAGGCATTCCTCCAGACTGACTCGGAATCCTGGACGGAGGATTGTTCAGAAGCTGCTGGAATTGGTCTGACCACCTCCATCTTTTTTTTTTTTTTTTTTTTAACACACAATTTTGTTAACCCATCCCACCCATAGGCGTCCTGACTGGGAATCAACCCCCAACCTTCTGAACAGGACAGTGCTCCACCCAGTGGATCCGCGGCCAGGGCTCCCTTCCTTTGTTAACGTTCCTTATTATCACAACAGCAATGAGGCGTTTAAATAGGAACACACACACACACAGGTTCTACCAAGAAATACTTTACGCACCACCTTCTCTCAGTCCTGAGCCACAAATCCTTTATTACAAACACCAGTGCACCGCTCCATTGCAGGCACTCCTCAGCTTTCACTGACGTCCCGTCGTGACCAGATCATTACTGCAGTCCACAGAGTGAAATGCCAGGTGTTTTCCAGCCGTCATGTTCGCCATCGAGGGCGCCCATGCACCTGCGTGTGCCCTGGAGGCCCTTTGGTCTGGAGAACATCCTCGTCCAGAGCTTTGGGCTTGGGCCCGAGTCCCACCACACTCCTCAGGCTCTGGGGAAGGACGGGCTGAGAAGGCAGCGCCTCGTCAACTGGCTTTAGCCCCAGGTTGGGGATTCCTCTTGCGTTTGACCCCACTGTGCGTCTTCTGGTGCCCGATGAGGTGGGAGCTCTGGGTGAAGGCCTTCCCGCACCGGTTGCAGGCATAGGGGCGCTCCCCAGTGTGGATCCTCTGGTGCCGGATGAGGTGGGAGCTCTGGCGGAAGGACTTGTTGCAGAACTTGCACAGGTAGGGCCTGGCTCCAGTGTGAGTCCTCAAGTGCTGGGCGATGGCGGAGCGGTCGTTGAAGGTCCGCCCGCACTCGGGACACGTGAAGGGCCTCTCGCCGGTGTGGACCCTCTGGTGCTGCGTGAGGGAGGAGCTCTGGATGAAGGCCTTGCCGCAGTCTTGGCACACGTAGGGCTTCTCCCCTGTGTGGATCTTCCTGTGCACCGAGAAGTAGCGGGGGTTCCGGAACAGTTTGCCGCAGGCGCTGCAGCTGAACAGATGGCTCCCCTTCTGGACCCGCGTGAAGGTGACCTGCAGGCTGCTCCTGGCATCCCGGGCTCGGTCCCGGCGGCGGCTCGGCTGCAGACTCACCTGGACCGCCTGCGCCGCCTTCCTGATCCGCGAGCTGTGCCTGCGCGGGCTATTCCTGAGCAGCATTTTCTGGTGAGAGACGTGGCTGGTGGCGAGGCCCCCCTCTGCTGGGGACTCCGGGCTTTCCTGGGGCTGCTCCTCAGGGAGGGCTTCCTCCTGAGCCGGCCCCATGAGCGGCAATGCCGTGGCCCCAGCTTCCAGGCCCCCCGCTTGCGGGGCCTCCCCTGAGGCCGAGGGCTCTTCCACTTTCAGGGTGGGCGGCTCGGCCTCAGCAGCCGCTGGCTGTGGGAGCAGCCGCTCCCCCTCCGCCGTGCTCTCCCAGCCTGGAAGACAGGAAATGCCGACACGGCTGAGAGCAGGACCGCTGAGTGTAAAAGCTGGGGGTGTCGTGTTTTTAATCCTCGCCTGAGGAAGGGGGAACAGAAAGAGGAACAGCTGCCTCCTGTACACATCCTGACCCGGGAGCGAACCCACAACCCAGGTATGTTCCCTGACGGGGAACTGAACCCGAAACCTCCCACCGAGACATTGGCAGGGACAGCGGGGATGGTCTCCCCCAAGTGCAGACCCGCAACCTGGGGAGGGGCTGAGACAAACAGTGAGGCAGCCTAGCGGGTGCCGCCTGAGAGGGGGCTGGGGAGTCCGCCAGCTCTGTCTCCCGTGCAGCCCTCAGACACTGCAGCGAGGTCCTCGGTGAACCCCAGGCTGTCCGTGCACACCACACACACCCACCCTCAGGGCCTCGGGCCAGTTCAAGGCCCTGGTCGGTGCAAGGGGCTTGAGAAACATCCATGTGAGAGAGAAACATCGACTGGTTGCCTCTTGTATGTGCTCTGACCCAGGATTGAACCTGCAACCTCTCGGGGTGACGGACGGTACTCCAACCCACCAGCCCCCGGCCCGGCTGCCTGGGCCACGTGAGGGGGCACAGCCGAGCGGGGCCCGAGCCACCGTCCTGAGGGCCGGGCGGGCAGGGCGAGGCTCACCCACGCACACCAGGTGCCGGAAGGTCTCCAGCATCACGTCGTGGTACTCCGTCCTCTGCGAGGCGTCCAGCAGCTCCCACTCCTCCCTGTTCAAGTCCAAGGACACGTCCAGGAAGGTCACTGGCTCCTGTGAAGCCACAGGGTGTGCTCATTGGGAGGTCAGGGGCCTGGGGTCGGCCTGCTCTGCAGGGCGGGAGCCTACGTCCCCCTCTCCTCTCCCCGTCCCCCCCCCCCCCCCCCCCGCTCCGGGGCAGCCTGCTGCCCTGGGGGCGTCTCTCTTCCCCTCTCCCCTCCCCGCCCCCCCCCCCTTTCAGGGCAGCCTGCTGCCGTGGGGGCGTCTCTCTCCCTCTCCCCTCCCCCGCTCCGGGGCAGCCTGCTGCAGTGGGGGCGTCTCTCTCCCCCTCTCCCCTCCCCCGCTCCCCGGCAGCCTGCTGCCGTGGGGGTGTCTCTCTCCCCTCTCCCTTTGCGATCAGTCCTGAGGAGCCTACGAGTACTCCGGGGGGAGAGGCCTCCCACAGCCCTCTGCCTGGGCCTGGGAGGCAGCACGCCCACAAGAGGCAGAGCCACAAGGTGGGCTGGAGAGCCCCCATCCCCGGGGAGCCCCAGACACAGCCTTACCTGAAGCACCCCCAGATCACGCCACTAGAGGGCCAACACGCTCACGCAGAGGCAGCTTCTGCCAGGAGCAGCCGTGGCCAGGGACACAGACACAGGCTGTGCATACTCTGAGCCTCAACAACTCGGGTCACTGGAAGCAATCTCAGGGTCTCAGCGCTCTCCGCCCCCCTCCCCCCCTCACAGCTCCGCACGGCGGGGCCCCTCACCTCCGGCAGCAGCAGCACGTCTGTGGGGCAGGTCTCCTCCTCCGCCTTCCCCTCCTGCGGGGCCGGGGGCTCCAGGGGGCAGGTGGGGCCCGAGGCAGGCAGAGCTGGGAGGGAGCAGTACAGGGCCAGGGGTCAGGGGGTGTCAGCACAGGGCAGCCATGTCTCTGGCTGTCAGGTCCCCATGCTCCACTCGCCTCGGCAGCCGGCTCACCTTCTCGGAGGCTGAGCCGCCCGCCTGTCCCCTCTGAGACCGCGTGGAGGGTGGGCTGCCCGGCCCAGGACAGACCGCTCTCCCGACACCGGTCCTGAGGTGAGCTCGGAGCCTCCTCCAGCTCAGGAAACAGCCTGCTCAGCCTCATAGCCCCGTTCAACCGCACTTTCCCCCCGAACCTCCACATACCCCATCAACGTTCCTCTCTCTAAAATAAAAATAAAATATCCTCAGTGAGAATCAAAAAAAGGAAAGGAAAAAAAAAGAATTATCTTCCGGACAACCATCAGGTGCTGCTGCATGGGGCAGGGAGGTGAGCAACGTGTCTGCGCTCCACAGAACTCGGCCCCCAAATGCTGCCACCCCTCCTGGCTGGGCGGCTCAGTGGTTAAAGCGTTACCCCAATATGCCAAGGTTGTGGGTTCCATCCCTGGTCAGGGCATGTGTGGTAAACAGCTAGTTGATGTCTTTCAAAAAGTCAGTGGTTTGGCTCAGTGATAGAGCATCGGTTTGCGGACTGAAAGGTCCCGGGTTCGATTCCGGTCAGGGGCATGTATGTTGGTTGCGGGCACATCCCCGGTGGGGGGTGTGCAGGAGGCAGCTGGTCGGTGTTTCTGTCATCAACGTTTCTAGCTCTCTCTCTCCCTTCCTCTCTGTAAAAAATCATTTAAAAAAAAAAGTCAGTGGGAATACGACTTCATGTGAGAATTATAAACAAATAAGTAAATAAATAAATAAGACCCCAGTGGGGTGGTTCAGTGGTTAGCATCAACCTATGAACCAGATGAGCCCACAGGGCACATGCTCGGTCGGGCTGTGGGCTCGATCCCCAATGTGGGGTGTACAGGAGGCAGCTGTCAATGATTCTCTCTCATCATTGAGTTTCTCTCTCTCCCTCTCCCTTGTTCTCTGAAATCAATAAAAAAAATTTTTTAAAAAAGAACCAACAAATATAAAAATAAATGGAACAACAAACCAATGTTTTTCTTTCTCTAAAAAAGAAAAATCAATAAATTTAAGAAAAAAAAGCAACCATTAGCCCACAGCCACACTTGCTGCCAAGGAGGAGTCTGGGAAGTTCCCTGAACACCTTCCCAAGGACCCCGCCTCCCCCTACGCTCCTGCTGGTAAACGCGCCCACCTCTGATGTCAGAACATCCTGTGAGGGTGCCCCCTGTGGGCCACTGTCCTTCTGCCTTTGAGCTCTGCTCCGCACCAGCTGTCGCCTCAACAGGCCCCACTACCAGCCCCTTTAGTTCCTCTCACTCCACTGTCTCAATACATTCATTCACCACATCCGTCTCACACACACTCATTCACCATATCCATCTGCGTTCATTCACCACACCCATCTCACACACACGCATTCATTCAACCACACCCGTCTCACAGGCAATTCTTTCATTCACCACATGCATCTCACACGGGTTCATTCACCACATCAGTCTCACACATTCATTCACCACATCTGTCTCGCACACATTCATTCACCACCAGTCTCACACACTCATTCACTCCCCATATCCGTCTCACACACGCATTCATTCACCACATCCATCTCACACACATTCATTCATTCACCACACCCATCTCACACACATTCATTTCCCACATCCGTCTCACATGCGTTCATTCACCACACCCATCTCACACACATTCATTCCCCACACCCGTCTCACACTCATTCACCACATCCGTCTCACATGCGTTCATTCACCACACCCATCTCACACACATTCATTCCCCACATCTGTCACACACACTCATTCACCACATCCGTCTCACACACACACATTCATTCACCACATCCGTCTCACATACACACACACATTCATTCACCACATCTGTCTCACACACACACACTCATTCACCACACCCGTCTCGCACTCATTCACAACATCCGTCTCACACACTCATTCACCACATTCGTCTCACACGCGTTCATTCACACCCGTCTCACACGCATTCATTCACCACATCTGTCTCACACACATTCATTCATTCCCCACACCCGTCTCACATGCATTCATGAGCCACGTTCCCATCTTTGCTGCGAGGCTGACGGCCAGCTGAGCTCAGGAGTCCTGCGTGTCCGGTCACCACCGTGCGCACAGCCCGCTGCATGGGTGACGGCAGAAGCCACCCAGGAACAGGCCTGGGACTGAGGCCAGGTCCCCGGGCTCGGGGCAGAGCTGAGGAAGGACACTGAAGGGTTCCCCGGAGAGCGCCCCAGAAGCCTGTGGTGGGTAGGGTCCTGGCACCCCGCAGGGCCAGCCCCGCCCGGGGTTCCATGGTTGGGGTGGGGCCTGACCTGCCGTTCCCACAGCTGGTCCAGGACTCACAAAGCCCTTGGTTTGGAGGCCATGGGCAGAGCCGCCCGCAGCTCCGATTCCGGAGCACGAGGGGTTCCCAACCTGCCCCCCTCCCTCCAGACGCCCACAGGAGCGCCCCCTCCACACACTCACACTGCACCCACCTTTCTCCTCGGGCCCCCAGGTCGCGTCCTCCACCAGGGCCGCCGCCTCCTGGCAGTCGCCCGGGCGCTGAGACTCCACCCAGGCCCGCAGCTGCGGGGGCAGCGCGCCCAGGAACTGCTCCAGCACCAGCGCCTCCAGCATCTGCTCCTTGGAGTGCGCCTCGGGCCGCAGCCACCGGCGGCACAGCTCGCGGAGCTGGGCCTGGGCCTCGCGGGGCCCCGCCGCCTCCTCGTAGCGGAAGCCCCGGAACCGCTGTCGAGCGGCCTCAGGGTCGGCCTCGGGGTCGGCGGGACGGCCGCCCGGTGGAGGGGGGGGCTCCTCCAGGGCCCTGGGGCTCAGGCCGCCGCCTCCAGCGTAGAGGGCCCAGATCCGGGCGTTGCGGGACCGCGCCGCCTCCTCGTTCAGCGAAAGCACCTCCACCACCTCGATCTCCGTCAGGGGCGCCCGGGCAGGGAGAGGGTCCGAGGGCCGGTCCAGTGGGGCCTCAGGCCTCCCTGCAGCGAGAAGCGGAGGGAGACGTGACCGAGACGCAGAGGAGCCCTCGGCGGGGTCCAGGGGCTGCCCACTGGCCTATGAGCCAGGAGGCCACCGTCCAAGTCCCCGTCAGGGCACATGCCTGGGGTGGGGCTCCACCACTTGTGGGGCCCACGGGAGGCAGCCTTTCTCGTCACCGTGTCTCCCTCCCCGTCTCTCCCCCTTCCTCTCTGAAACCCTGACAAAAAAGCACATGAAGATGTTCAGCATCGCCCGGAGAGTCACTGGGACCCCGTGAGGTGACAGGCGAGAACAGCGGGCACTGGGGCCCGGCCACCGGGAGGAGGAAGCCACCGCGGCTGCTGGTGGGCGCCCCCGCCCCAGCCCCCACCCGCCGGGGGCCCGGCCCGCAGCTCCTGGGGGACTCACGGCCCGGCCCGGGGAGAGCGGACGTGCTGACCGAGCACCAGGCTTAGACCCGCACACCAACGCGTTAAAGAAGTTATTCTACAACGAACCGCCCAGAACCCTGCGCCCACCGGGGACAGGGGACCGCGGGGAGCCAGAGCCAGAGGCCGAGGCCCTGCCGGCGACTCCTCACCCGGAGCTGAGCACAGGCCCGAGCAGACCAGGGGCTTCCAGGGGCGGGTCTGGGGGGGGGGGGTCATGGCTAACGGACACGGGGACTAACGGACACCGGAACTAACGGATATAACGGACCTAACGGATATAACGGACCTAACGGACACGGGGCTGAGCGGCTGCGGCGTTCGGACAGGTTAGGTCCCGGCTGGGACGGAAGCGGCCTCGGGCCTCCTGCGGAGCCACGTGCAGGCTGGGCTCGGGGCGGCGCTGCGGGCACAAAGGCGGCCCGGGCGGCGCGATGCGGGCGGACCGAGCCCGGCGGAGCGGTACCTGCGGGGCCTGGGAGGTGAGCGCGGGGCCCGCCCTTCCTCCGCCCGCGGAGCCGTCCCTCCATCAGGAAGCAGGGTCCGGCCCCGCGGCGGCGGCGGCACAGGGTTTCTTAAACTTTAAAACGATCTGAGAGAGAAAGCGCAGCAGCTCGAGGACCGGAAGGCCTGGCTCCAGGTGCGACACCACAGAGAGCCCGGAAAGAACGCGGGGAAGCCGCAAGAGGGAAGGGGCACAGGAGCACCAGGAAACGCGAGCGCAGGTCAGAGGAAGGGGGGCCGCACAGGCAGGAAACTCCCCGGCGTGAGGCCCGGACAGACAGGAGTGACCCCAGCCTGGGGGGGGGGGGGGAGGAGTGACCCCAGCCTGGGGGGAGGGGGAGGGGGAGGGGAAGGGGGAGAGGGAGTGGAGAGCGGGGAGGTGAGAGAGCGCCCTTCCTGCCCCGGCCCAGCAGCCCGCGGGGCCTGAACCCCACAGCGGCGGCCGCGCCGACCACACGCAGGAGAGGAGGCACTAGATGCGGCTGCGGGCGAAGAGAAAAAGGGGAAAAAGGAAACCGACGCGATGTTCAGAGCGACGGCGCCACCGTGGCCCCCTTCAGCCCCCGCAGCGCTCAGCCCGGCGGCTGCAGCTCCTCCCGCGGCGCCGGAGGGGGGAAGGGGGCGGGAACGCCGCACTTCCGGCCGACCCGGAGCGCGGCCATGCGCACTACAACTCCCAGGAGCCTCCGCGGCGCGGACTTCCGGCGTCGCCACGCCCCCGGACGGTGGTTCGGCCGCAGCCCAGCGGGTCTGGGGTTCCCCGACGCCGAGGAGCCGCCACCTTATCGTCTGCGAGTCCGTCCCCCGCTCCCGCTCCCGCACCGCAGCCGGCACTCCGGTTCCCACAGGCGTCCCCCCCGCCTCCCAGTCCCTGTAACCGGCTCCCCGCCGCGGTGCCCGGCGCCGGCAGCCCTGAGCCGCCCGGCCCGGGTTCAGGCCTCCCCCCCCCCCCCCCCTCTGGGAGAAGGACAGGCGTCTGGCGGGTCCCACGGCCCGCCTCTAACGCACCCCCCGCCGATCCCTCAGCACCGGGCTCTCCGCCAGGGCTTCAGGGTGCACCCCGCCCCACCCCCACCCCCACCTCCCAATCCTGGATTGGAAAGCGCAGTTTTTTTGTTTTTATTTCTTAACGCTTCCCTCTGAGGGGACCGCGGGAAGCAGGGTCGCACCCTGATCTGGGCCCCAAGCGGACGTGGACCGGCGCCTCCCTGGAGGCTGCAGGGCCAGACCCTGGAGTTTCTGAGCAGTAACGGCCCGAGCCCGGAAACAGCCCCCTCCCTCCCCTGTCCCCTCCTTCCTCCCCTCTCCCTCCTCCAGGCAGCCGCAGAGCTTTTAGCTTGTCTACGTGCTGGGGTTGTGCCTGGGTGGTCCGGGGTTTTACTCGGCGCTTCTCTCTTCCTTAAAGACCTGCTGGTTCTTATCCCCTCCCCTCCCCCGGGTTCTGAGGGACTGGTTTCCCCTTATTGTTGGTCATGAATTTAGTTTCTGCTCTGATCCTCGGGGCTCGCTCAGAAATGAAAGCTCAGCAGCGGCTGCCAGGCTGGGAGCGGCCAGGCCCGGGGGAGCAGCCGGGTCGGGTGCGGCCAGGCCCGGAGCAGCGGCGGCCAGGCTGGGAGCGGCCAGCCCCGGAGCAGCAGCAGCCAAGTCCAGAGCAACTAGGTTGGGAGCGGCGGTGACCAGACCTGGAGCAGCTGGTTGTGGAATGAACCAGAGCAACAGAGGCCAGGCCCTGAGCAGCCAGGCCCAGAACAGCTCGCTCCTTGCCTGCCCCTGCCCCACGGCTGCTTCTCAGACATGGCTGGAAACTTTCGTGGGAACTTGAGTGTCTGCTGAATCAAGTGATGAAGGCTTAGATCTGGATGTGTTGAGTTAGTTTAGGACTGGGGTGTTGATCTGTGAGTGCCTTGGGTGGGGCCTGGATGAGGCTGGTTGACCTAGTGGGAAATGTCTTTTGTGTGAAGTGTATCATTGGGCATGTGGAGGTATTATTGATATGAGAAAATGCTAAGTAACTGATTTACTATCTGAAAAGGGATTTACTATTGGGGAAATTGAGGGAAGAAGAGACTGAACATAAACTGCACCTATGGATGAGGACAATGGGGGATGGGGGGGGGACGGAGGGTGGGGTGGGAACCTGGTGGAGGGGGGAAGAAATGAGGAACCTTTGTAATAATATGAACAATAAAGATTGCTAAAAAAAAAAAAAAAAAAAAAAAAAAAAAAAAAAAAAAGAAATGAAAGCTCAGAACCTGAGTCCTGGGTCTGGGTGTCAGGGCCTCAGCTGGTCTGTATGGTGCCAGCGCCCGGGGACCCGCAGGCCGCAGGGTTCTGCACGGTCGCCATCAAAATACCCCCCAGCAGTGAGCTCCAGCCTCTCACCTCAAAATACCCTCAGCTGAACTGAACGTGACCCTAACCCAGGGACTCTCCCGCCAGCTGGCCCCCCACCTTACACATTCCCACCGGGAACGGGACAGCAGACGGGAAGAGAAGCACACTGGTCCACAAATGCTGGCAGCATGGCATGTTATTCCCGTGGTCACTGCCGTGGTCACTCCTGTGGCCACATGGCGGCCTGGCGGCCAGCATTGAGTGTTGTGACACCCACCGTCACTAGCCCAGGAGAGAGGAAAACGGCACGGTTTCTACTGCAAACACACTGCCTTTCAATCACACCCACCAGGTCGCAGTGTGAACCTCCTGTGGGGGAGCCCGGGCCACCAGGACGGGCCAAAGGAGCTGCCGCTTCCTCTCACACCTCTGTCCTGGCCTCTCCCACGGCTAAGCGGCCCCTCACCACAGCTCCCTAGGACGCTGACAGCGAACCAGGTGGGTCCCGACGGCCCACAACCTGCTACCTAATCTGTGACGGCTGAGGCTGCCAACCGTGTTAGTGACCGGAAACCCTAACCCAGGGCCCAAGGAGGAGGGTCACCTTTCCATCAGCCAACGTCTCGGAACCCACAACAGTGTGTCCAACCTTTACACAAAGGTCACGGGAGAGGCTGAGACCCGGCCCAGGGCCCCTGGGGGACACAGCAGGGGCACAAACCCTGCTCTTTTAAGCCCTTTACACCAACGCGGACTGACCCCTCACAGCCACCGCCTTTCCTCAGGTGTGCCCGTGTGACTCATCCACGTCTTCACATCAGCCACATCCCACCAGTTCAGCTTTCCCACGTTCCAGCTCTCAGTTCCTGTGTCGCCTCCTCAGAGCCGTCTTCCTGCCCCCTTCCAAACCACGCCCGCTACGCACCCTCCCCAGCAGGCCCCATTGCATCCTCTCTCTCAGAGCACGACTTGTCTCCAATCTCTGGTCCAGTGATCACTGTCACCTCTCCCCTTCTGGAGCAGCCTGCCTGGGACACTTGGCCGAAGGACAGGTCCTAGGTCTGCACAGATCTGCACTGTCCCACCTCGCAGCACCAGCTGCACGTGACCGAAGACATCTGAGGAAACCAGTCCCACTAGCTCAGTCAGCTGCACGTGCTCCGTATTGAAAGGCCAATGAGAAGGGCCTCCCACCTGGTTCCTCGCAGGCAGGTGCTCACGCAGGATCTGCTGACTCCACACGGTGTCTAAGGGCTTCTAGCCTTCTGCCTGGATTTCCCGTTTCTGCCAATTCCAGAGGATCTCACTGGCACTGAAGTTGTGTCCTGCTTGGGGCCTGAGCCGGGGCTTGAAGCACAGGCCTCGGAGTAAGAGGACACCTGGCTCACACCCCACCTGCTGCTGCCCGGACCAGCCAGGCCAGCAGCTGCCATTTCTGCTCCCACAGGTCAAGCGGCTGCAGCGGCATTTCCCTGGAGGCTGCAGGGCTTAAGTCCGAACTCTATACACTTCCAGCCTTTGTAGCCCTCAGAGGTTAATCCTTACAGTCAATTCTTCCACGTCCCACTAACATAACTTTATTCAAATGAAGCCTGTCCATTCCTTAATTTATTTTTAGGCACAATTTCAAAAAAGTATTAACAAAACCTTTCTTCCATTTGTATTCAATTGGTTATTTCTGGTATAGGGCAAAACTATTAATTTCTGTATTGTTTTATAATTTGCCATATATA